GAATTTGAGCAGATGAAAGCATGCCATGCAAAACTATTAAAGTAACACCATGCAGAGAGAAAGATTCCCAAGTAGAGAGCTTCTCCTTTTATTGACCTCCAAACCTGTTTAAAACAGGCAGGTTAAAAACACCCATTAACTTCCTGAAATGGCAACCCCTCTAAAAGGCATTTCCCTTCTTCCACTTCACTGGAGCAAATGAAAAGCTAGGCTCCCTCTCCTGCCTTCTTCTTGGTGGTGGTAGTTATGAAAGAAGCTTAACCTAGGAGAAAGGGGTCCTCTCTCTTGACTCTGCTGTAGGTGCATTACATACATCAGTTTCACCTCCCACTCTCCAGAAGATGACAGCCCTTACCTGTTCCAGAAGGCGTGGGAAGAAGGGACACGCCACCATTTAAAGCTGTCTGTAGGCTTCTTGCTATTTTCAGCTGTGACAAAATAGACACTTGATTAGTCAAGGAATAGACAATTGATTCTGCACCTGGCTACAGGACAGTGGCTAAAACGTAACAGGAGATGAAAAAACCGTGGTGGGGTGGGAAGAGCCCCAGGGTCCCATTAGCCCAGCTGAGCTCTCCTCCTGGTGAGCAGCATAATTCTGCTGGATTCAGTGGAGCAAGGGCAGCTGGGGTGTTCACTCCGGGTGACAGTTTGGAGCCTGGTCTTAAGCCAAATTGAATCCATCCTGCAAGAAAGCAAGGGCTAGTTCAGGACATTTAGCTCAGTTAATGACGAGTAGCAAAAGGACAATAAGATATTATGTGTTTTAATGACTGATTTGTTCAACAACATTGAATTTCCCAACTTGCATTTGGCCAAAAAAGTGGAATGTGCAAACTTTATCCCTAGTGCAAACCCTTTGATGTCAGTAGAGTTAGAGCAGGCATGAGCTGGATATAATATCCATAATCCGTTGTTAAAAACCAAGTGTTATTGTTCTGCACAAATCCCAGCCAGATGACAGTTATTGTCTGCCTCTGCAAAAAGTAGCTTGAGATGTGCGGTGCAACATTTCAAATAAGGATTGCAAGATTTAATAACGCCAGAAGCTAAGTGCCCCCACTTCTCCTCAGTTAATCCCATTATTCCTAAGGGATCCTGTTACATGCTCAGAGAGAAGGTTGCAACATGGCCCTCTAATGTGGGATCAGTCGAACTTCTCTTTGCACTGTATGTTAAAACAAATGGGGGCGGGGAAGGCAGATTTGGAGAATGTTGGCTTGCGGCATGGATTCTGTAGTACAGAAGATCTGTTTATAACCTCCTTGCCCACCCCATGACAGGGGCATGCACCACAACTGCCTCTGTGAATGCTGCTTTCCCAGACTGTGGTCCAGCAGCCACTCGGGAATCTGAGCCTCAGTGCTGGGACGGTGCATCCCGGCTGCCTCCTGTGAGAGGCTGATGCAACACACTGTTATCAAGACCCCTGCAGTCAGCCCACATGGTGCAGATATGCTTCAGGTGCTATTCAAATGCAGTGTATCATGGTGGGTTCAGAGTGTCACTTCACCAATTTACAGCTACTGCTAAAACACAAGGGTCTGAGCCCGTAAACAGAACCAGATAGCAACACAGCTTTTGTTTCCTGACTCAAGTTTAACATTCAATTTGTTTGCTACAAATAATCACATAGTAAATTCAAATTTGCTTTCATTAAAGCAATTTTACGTTAATTAAATCATTTCACATGACTGATTTATCTGCAACAAACAGTCATTTTATTGTCAGTGTACCAGCATTTATCATAACCTCTGTGCATGGTGAAACAAAAGCTAACAATGTGGAATAGATACTGCACATGTAAAAGAGATAATATACCTGCATCCTCATGGGAACAAGTTTATTAGAGAGCCATGCAGATTAGGTCCAAGGTCAATAGTTGGGGCTTGTCCAGGTTTTTGCTGAGACACCTTCTAAAGCTAGTTGCTGATCTAGGAGGACTCTTTTGAAGTGCAGATAAGCCAGAGAAGCAGGGAAGAAAATTCAGTGTGCTCTTACTTGCCACCTCCTCCTCTCGGACACAGAGCTAGATATAAAATGGTAGAGAGACTGCCTGTACAAGCAGGAGTCCGGAATTTGTTCTGCTTTCTGTGGCCCCAAAAAAAACCACATCAGGCAAAATTTAATGGCAGCATCCATACCTGTGCTCAGCTCGGTCTTCAGTTCCAGATTGCAGGTGGGGCTGAGCATTTTCCAAAGCAGAAACCCCCATCTGGGTGGGAAAAAAAAAAAATGGACCCAAGAGCAATTTTACAGAAATTAGGTTCAGAACAGCAAGGCTCCTGGCCCCCATCCAATTTCTGGCTAAATTTAGATTGAAATTCAAAATCGAATCCAACATCAAGGCCATCTCTTTTTGGTGGTTGTTTGTTTGTTTTTTCCCCTTCCTGGTGCAGTTCAAACCATAAATATAATTTCTTTTTGTTTCAGTGGTAGAGTGCTGATAGCTTTGAAGTTTTCAGACAAAAAAAAGAAAGCAGTTCTGATTCCAAGAAAATTTTTTAGGACATGTTGTTCCTTGGCTTGTTATCTGGGGTGTGCATTAGGGTGAGTGTCTGGATTTCCCCAGTCCCTGCCACTACGCTGCAGTTAGGCCTACTGCAAACTACTGAAGATTTTCCAAAGACTTTTTGGACTTAGACCTATTTGCAGTATTTCTCAAAGAGAAATTGTGCTCCTGACTCCTTCACGTTCCTCTGAAAATCTCAGACCTGGGTTATTTGGGTCTGAAGTGCCTCCTCTGGGGAAGATAATACAGCATACGTATCCCACAAGGTTGGTGTGAAGACTAGTGATAGTGCAGCACATTGGAAAAAAAAGTCTAGTGAAAATTCAAATTAGCATTATCTTTTAACAAGGGTGCAAAGGACTTCTCCATATTCCCATAAAAAGTAGGGCTTCACTTCCAAGAATCCCCATGGAGTTAATGGAATTGACAGATAGATGTAATTTAACTTGAATAATGGCATCAGTATCTCAATAAATTCTGTGAAGTTGTATCTGAATGGGAAAACACAAACAGAAATCACTTGATCTTCTAATTCTGCAAAACTGACATTATGTGGGAAAAACCTCTTCCTTCCCTGAAAAGTTTCGATGCCCAGTCCTAGTCTGCTGTCACCAGAGCTGTTTTCGCCACTTCCTTGGAGACTATATTTGTCCCTTTATTTCTGCTGAAGACATGTCTATCTTTAGGTCAGAGCTCAGATTTCTCATGCCAGGATAATGAAAGGTGGCTGTGTCACATACATTGTGGAATTCAACACTTCTCTCAACCTGCTGGCCAGAGAAGGTTTCTACAACACATGCTCGTGCTCTCCGAGCATGTGGCTATGCCATCATCATTAGCCAGAACTGGAACGGTTGCTAAATAAATACTGTGTCACAAACAAAATGGGACTTAAGATGAAAAGCTGCGCACAAAGTACCCAGAATTAACACCCGGGGAGATGGGGGCAATCAGTCTGAGGTTTTTGGCTGGATCTAGGCTCAACATGCAGCAAGGATATTTTCGTCTCGCTCCCTGGTAATAGAGAAATTAAGATGCTGTAAGCACAAACAAAACAAGGAACTAGCCCTGAAAAGCTGTCCGTTCTTTCTACTCCTCCTTACATTTTACAGAGTAGCAATATCTGAGGTACTTTGTTCCATCTCCAAAGGAAAAAAAGCAACATGGGATTGTTTTTACTGATTTTCATCTTTTTCTGGATATAAATTGTATTGTTGTTAAATTGCATTTTCATAGAGCATTATAAACATAATAAACAAGAGACTACAAATATGACGGTCTAAAAAATTTTTTTAAAATGCAGAAAATATTTAATTTCAAACTTATGAAGATTTCCAGTTCTGAAGTTTTCATGCTAAAAATACATCTTTTTAGCTCCTTTAATGAGAGACAGAGCTGTCCATTAGGTGGTCAGAAGCTCAAATCTGATTCTAATCAGTGGCTACTGCAATAATGCCCAATTGCTGAGCCATGGTCTCTGGGGAAAGACTAGATCTGACTGCAGCAAAGGACAAGAAAGTTTGAAAATTTTCAGGCATGGCTATAATTCAGTAGAACAACAGAACATTTTTTGTCCAATTAAAAATTTCTCATCAAATCATACCATTTTTGTGAAAGTTGAAGCATTTTACAATATTTACAAGAAGTAGGTTTTCAGATTCCAGAATGAGCTCTTTGCTCACACCCAGAGTGAAAGGACTACAAACTTGAATTTTTCCATCTGAAAGCAATCCTTTTGACAAAATTTCCTTTAATTTCACATAAGACTATTAAAAAAAAAAATGGTTATCTCCTTCCAGCATGGGTCAAAGACACACATTAGAAACCTGGGAAGCAGTCATGATAGAGAATTGCATTTCTCTGGCTGCTTCCATTAGTGATCACAGCAGAGAAACCGAAAGCAGAGCAGAGGGAAGGTGGGAGCTACACTCCTGGATCCCTGGAACCCTTCCCTGAGGCTCACTTACAGCAACACGGAAGGACTCACGATATTACTCTTACTGAAGATGCACACCTCACATTGAAATCTCTAGGGAACTCAAAACATTTCATAAGCCATTTTTCTAGTGATCACCCAACACAGAGGGAAGACAAAGGCATTAGGGAAGAACAGTGACTATAGATGTACAGGGTAGGCTATAGAAATAAAAAAACATAAGTAAGCTGGTGCAAATAGCATGTACGAACAGGCCGCTGTTCTTACTGGTAACACCCATTTTCCAACACGCTTCCAACAAGGTCTGGGCAGCAGTCAGCACCTTCAGAAAGCCTTACTGCCCTAAGCAAAGAAGAAAAATAGAGCTTGAGGAAAGCCAGGAGCCTTCTTGTACTAACAGTGAGCACTCCTGAGCATTGCACATTTGAAATCCCAAGTTTCCAGGCCCTCTGGTAGTAAGCAACCCACCCAGGCTGCTTCCCATAGCATGACCTTCAAGTATGAAAACTTGAAGCTTCGCCAGCAAGTACATCACTCCCAAAGCTATGTGTGAGCAAGCAGGGATGCCATGGACAACAAGCTGGGCAGGAGCGCTAAGGGCATGCCATCAGGCTAGCAGCTAAGCCCAAGCAAGCGCAATCATGGGTCCTGCAATACAATTCTGAATTTTCTGTCCCCAGCCATTAAAAACCCCATTGCTCCCCAACCAGCATTGCACCAGGTCTGCTCTGCAGGGCTGAGAACACCTGCTTGCTCAGCCCCAGTATCAGCACCACTTCCATCTCTGCTCCAGCACGATAAACCACACCATTTGGCCTCCTGGCATAATTGCATTTCTCTCTCTCCTTTTTTCCAGGCAAAGTACTAGTTCACTGTGCAATGGGAATCAGCCGATCTGCAACTCTTGTCCTCGCTTTCTTAATGATCTGTGAAGATATGTCCCTCGCTGACGCAATTCAGACTGTGCGGTCACACAGAGGGATCTGCCCCAACTCCGGCTTCCTCAAGCAGCTTCGGGAGTTGGACCTCCAGTTAGGAAGAAGGAAAGGCAGAGGAGCAGAGGCCTGCTAGTGCCAAGGGGGCATGTCTCTTGGCACCAGACCAAGAGATGCTGCCCTCACTGAAGACAGTGCAAGGATGCTGTCAGGACTGCTCTGTAGCCGCACTGAGAAACTTCTTGGGAAACATCTGAGCATAAGCAAGCTGGTAGGAGTTCAGTATGTATTTTTTTGGATAAGCCCACTAATTGAAAGAAAATGAAATAAAGAAGGACTCAAACCAGCAGTTTTGCCCACCTGGGCCTGTTTATTTAACTGCCTGTTGGGCAGGGCACAGGGAGCAGTTGGGTTTTCATGCAGAATTAAAAGGCAGCACAGTCAACTTGAAAAAAGACTTTTTACTTGCTTATAATTGCATTTATATGGCAAGAGGGAAAATGGCTAAACTAGTAAAAGGAAAAAGAAACCATGAGCTTTTTAAGCAAATCTTTAACATTTCATATCCAGCTGGCATAGGGTGAGACTTCAGATTTTGCAAGCTGACATGCTCCTTTAGTCTGACATGGTGACACTAGTCAGGATCCAACTCAGACCTTGGTCTCTCTCTATTACAAGCCTTGGAGGCTCTTGCTGGGACCTTCACAAGTCCTTTCAGCTTCAAATCTATGGCAAATACTCAGAACTTAAAAAGACCATGAAATCCTCAGGAGCCGGTACTGGAGGTCCCAGCCAGACGCTGCACCCTGGGGGATGGCTATTGACAGCTTCACTGCTGGTCAGAGGGAAGGAAGGTGTCCCCTTGCACGCATAAGGCAAGGGGCACACTCAGGGCCCACTGCTCGCTGAGGCACTGCGGGGTGGCAGCAGTGCCAGACAGAAACATCCTCTTGGCTTGCAACCCAGCGCTCCAAATCACATTCCCTAAATTTCCCTGTTTTAACGGAAAGCCAGAACCTGGTGTCATCGTGTCGGAGCAAAAATGAGCAATGCCTCTAATAAATCCAAAGCAGCAGCTCTGCATTTCGATTACTCTTTTACGCCCAATTGGCCACATTTAATCTTGTGAAGAACTCGAAGCAGATATTTGCTTCAGTGCAATTACAGCCACATACAGAACATTGGCAAATGCAAACAATATAGAATTTCCACTTGACGGCAGATTAATTTGGTGTGATGTTTTCTCTTGAGAGGTCTTAAAGGCTTGCAGTTCTGAAAGTACCCTGCAGTTTGTATTTATAGCACTATGGATGTTGAATAGAAAGAGAGAAGCATATACTCGTTCTGAACTGAAGTTTCTTTTGCCTCCATACATGAAAAAAAATTAACTGAGCATAGCACACTTTCACTGCATTTCTCATAATGCAATATGGAAACATGAATTCCCTGAAGAGCCTATAGAGAAATTCAGGTGGTGTTTCCACTTTTATAAACATAGTAAGTCGAACACAAGCAATGCTATGGACTAATTTCCTCTCAGGGAACAGAGAGATGGGTCTTCCCTAAAGAAATGGTCCCATCCTTTGAGACTGGCGTAAGCAGACAGAAAGGAGGTCATAGCTAATGATGGAAAAATCAGTGAAGTTATAGCTTTCACAGACCTCTTACTGGCTGCCACAGCAAGGAGATTAGATTTCAGTGAGCATGGTGGCTGAACCACTCCTGGCACTTGGGTCTCCTCCACCTCAATCTGTCTGGGGATCCTTTTTTATTGCAGACCATGCTGAAGCTGTTTTGTGAGTAGTCTTTTCAGTTGCCTTACTAACCACTCCCTTCAAGTCTCTGTAACTCAGCCTATCCCAAGCCAAATGGCACTATATTAAAGCACAAGGGGCGTATGAAACACAACGGTCCGAAATCTCTGTGCACTGAGCCCGTCAGGACAGGTCATAATTCCCAGCAAGTTGCACATCTGGAAACATCTGTGGTTGTAGGGTGGAATTTAAAGTGAACAACTTCTCTGAGTGACTCAGCCTAAATTTACCCCAGCTGAGGCCTTTTAGCCACTGTGGGAGTATTTCAGCTGGCCAGGGACAGCCATAGATTCCCCTGCCATGCGTGACTTGCAGCCGGGGGCAGTAAGTCTGGCTGGAGCTGCAGCCTGCCAGGAAAGCCAGGGCACTGGCAAAGCAGGGCTGCTGTCTGGATGCCACTATTACAGGTGTATAGTGGAGGCTTCCTCCTCTCCGGAAAAAAAAACCCAAACCAACCACCCAATGAAGAACAAGAGGCCAAGACACTGACCCAAAGATCATAAAGTAGTTATACAACTGCAGGACATAAAATTCCCATTCTAGAAGAGCCTGGGCTGGTTCCAGCATTTGCATTGCTGCAAAGTTCAGACAGCGGGAGGCAGGTCCCCCCCATCTCCTTGCAGTTTCTCCACCCTCCAGCAGATGACAGTACCTGAGCCCACCATTACCTTCCCTCAATTATGCAAGGGCTGCAGCCTCATGGAGGTGGCCTGGCAGGGGCACAGGTCCAAGCTCAGTAGTTGATGACAATTAAGCAGTCCTAATCTCTGACCCACGTGTTGCACACTGAGGTGGCTTATTGCCCCTGTGCTTAGTTAAGCAAAAGCCTCTTAAAATACAGACAAAGAAAATGAAAACAATATTGGGGGTGCTTCCAGGTGTACCTTGTGCTACAATTTCCAGATCCAGAGTTGCTGGCTCTTTGCAAGCTGCCAGCTCAGCCCAGGCAACAAGGAATAGCTTCTTTCCACCACAGGCCATCCTTGCTAACAACAAGGCATTTGTTCCTGGCGAGCAGTTGTCAATTTTGCTGCTGCTGAGTCAGGCAGAATGAAGCCCCTCTCACTCCCTTGCAGGTGTACTGCCTATGCAGCGCCAGCTGTAATCACACTTGCCCAGTGCCCTAGCTAAATATTACCTGCCAAAAGCAATGTCAATTGAGACTGCAGGCAGGGTGGAAATGATCAGAACAGCAGATTCAGACATATTAATGGACAGAGCAGTGTTGATGCTACCATCTTTTCCATGCCTACTTCTTACCCAGTACAGAGCAAAGGCTGAGGTTTATTTACAAACACCTATCCATTCTGCGTGCTTATGAAGGAGCGACCTCCAGCACTGTGGCAGAGCTGGTGTACTTCCCACACAGAAGCCGGCAAGGGAGGATGGGCATCTTAGCCCCTTTTCACAGACAAAGCACCTGGAGTTTGCCTGACCTGCAGCAGGGTGTTTGGGGAAAAGCACAACAGGATTGCTCTCCGCCTCCAGAATTGGCACAAAAGCATGAGAATAGTTTTCTCACATAAGATATCTTGCCTTCACCAGCTTTTCCTCCCAGACTTTCAGCAATGATAAATACAGAGAATATTGCTGCAGGCATGTCTGCACTGCGTTATTTATCCTTTGGATTTGCACTTAGGGTTTTATTTGTAAAAGGAAAGTGGGACCATAAATCTGCTCTGCAAAGAGCCAAGGGAAAAGAGGACAGAAATTTTCAACAAGTTGCACGGAAGGAGATGCTGCCAAGGACAGGTTTCCCATGGAAAGAAATGCCAGCCAGGGTATGGCCCAGGTACACACCACGCGTAGTGGCGACAGTTAAAAGTGTCAGCCTTTTTCTGGCAGGTGCACCAATTCATGCCTCCTTGCACAGGTAGCTTTAGGGTTGCTGCTGCAAGGATGGCCCTCCTATGGGACCTTCTTAAGTCATAGCTTTTGCCCTTTTTATCTTGGAAAAAAAAAAAATCTGAACTGGGACCAGAATAAGCCACAAAGCTAAAAAACTAAGTGTGACCAAGACTAACTTGTCAGGGTTGAGTAACAAGCCACTAGACAAGCCTAAGTTGACCACATTCCAGAGTAACCATTTTGTTCATCGCCTTCAGCGTACACATGACAGCTCTTTGGGTACAGTGCGCTAAGTAATACACAGCGCCTGTAGGTGAGAAGGGAGCCAGACAGTCTCACAGGCACATCTCCTGGTTCTGCATTACACTAGCCTGTTCCACTTTAGCCAGTGGCTCCCACTTCTGCTTTAACTTCGGCACTGCCCACCAAGATCAGGTGACTTTCTTCTGCATAACCCTGATGTCTAGATCAGATGTGCCCAGCTCCTTCCAGCCCCTCCAGAAGTGCAAAGCACTGTCAAGTCCACTTGCCAGACATTATCCTCCTCCCGTTATTTTTCATGTCTTGTGTTTTCCTGATAACAAGGCTGAGCTACATGTTACTGTGGAGAGGGGCTTCAAAATAGCTTGTGCTTTGCAAATTTACTTCATAGTCTGACGTTCAAAGAGTATATGCAGCTCCTGAAGCCAAGTCAAACAGGAACCTAGGGCCTGCGAGGCTTTCAACAGTTACGTTTTCTTTAGGCTACAATTATTTTGCTTAGAAACTAGACTCTTGATCTGTTGCAGGAGGCTGCAGTTTAATAAAGTCAAACAATTTCCTCTTTGCAATGTACTATTTGCTGTACAAGTATCATTGAGTTATACCGCTCCCCCTCACTGGTGCCTCCTGGAACCTTGTCTGTTTACATACAGAAAGCACTCTCAGGAAGCACTCCTAAAAATACCCAGCAATGTTAGCTGAGGATCTGGCTCTGTCTCTCCTCCTCCTGCTTCTGCCTCCATAACATCCTTCCATCATCTTCATGCTCAACAACCCCGCTGTTCAAACAATCTTATTCCTGTCTCACCCTCTAAAAAATTGTTCTTTTCCTTCCTCCTCTGCCAGCAGCCATTCTCCACCCTGTCACAGAGCACCTTCCATAATGTTGCCATGCCATGTCCCATCTAGTGTTCTAGTGAAGCCCACATTGTCTTTATTAAATCCTTGAGTACACCTACATGGCTCGGCACCTTCTTATTGTCTGAAAAGTGGGCAAAGTCGGGGCAAAAATAGTATTAGAAAAAGAATAGCATCTTTTATGTTATTTGAAGGGGGGCCATTTGAAGACTGCAAAACAAGATGCAGTACTTTCCATAGACTAACTTTTAAAACCATTCTCAGTCAAGTTACCCTGGAGACAAAGCATCTCCCAATGGAAATACCATTGCAAATAAAAATATTTTCATAGTAGTACAAACAGAAAATCTGCACA